TGTCACTGAGCTCACACTGTCACTGAGGCCAAACTGTCACTGTCACTGAGCTCACACTGTCACTGTCACTGAGGTCAAACTGTCACTGAGCTCATTCTGTCACTGAGGTCAAACTGTCACTGAGCTCATACTGTCACTGAGGTCAAACTGTCATTGAGCTCATACTGTCACTGAGCTCATACTGTGACTGAGGTCAAACTGTCACTGAGCTCATACTGTCACTGAGCTCATACTGTGACTGAGGTCAAACTGTTACTAAGCACACGCTGCACTGACGCTGAGCTCACACTGTCACTGTCACTGAGGTCAAACTGTCACTGAGGTCAAATTGTCACTGAGTTCATACTGTCACTGAGGTCAAATGGTCATGGAGCTCATACTGTCACTATCACTGAGGTCAAACTGTCACTAAGCCCACACTGTCACTGCCACAGAGCTCACACTGCCACAGAGCTTGCCCAGTCTCTGTCACAGAGCTCGCACTGCTGCTATGGAAGTGAGGTGCTCCAGGATAGTAAGGGTTAACTCCTGCAGTGAATGATGATCCGCTCCCCCCCCCACACCCAATCGGCTGGTGACTCATCCCCCCGGCACACCAGACAGCACGTCTCTCCTCTGCTCCTGCTGTGGACCCAGCGCAGACATTATGTAAGCTCTGTCTGTCCCAGCTGCAGCTGCTCAGAATACTAACAGCACGCGCAGGGCGTGTGTCACCTTTTATACAGGCAAGAACACACCCAGAAATCACTCCCAAACACACCCACCCCATCGCTGGGGCACCCCTACAGGCCCATACTACAGTCAGAAACACCCAGCCATAATCGGTAACTGTTTTACTAAGGGTCATGGGAATCTGACAGGATACGCAGTGTGGAAGGTGCACACTGGAGGGTGTGAGGCTATCATGGGGCTCATACTCAGACAAACATTCACACAGCGAAGCAGATCTGCTCACCATTAGCAGCTGAGAGGAAACGGGAGTAACCAAAGGCATCAAAAACCAGAGACAATGAACTCTTTAGCCAAATCTAAACTGAACAGCCTGCAGTGGAATAGGGAGTTTGTAGCTCTTCTTTCAAAGGGCTGATGGATTTGAGGGAAAACACTGCCCTCTACTGCTCACTGTGTGCTGGTTCGACTGGCTCGTCAATGACCGCCCAGGAGCAAAGGGAGCTCTTAAAGGGAAACCAGTCCTCCCAGCACGTGATGCTGAAGAGGTCAGAGGTCACGGTGTGAAAGGTCAGCGGGACAGCATGCTCCAAAATGCGTGAACAAGCATGGCAGAATAACACAGAATACTAAGGAGCTTTAAAGGCGTCGTCACACCAAAAGTGTCGTGCTTCGTTCCTTATGGGTTGAGGTGTAGCTTTTAGAAATCCGGTCTCTCACAACTATCCGTTGCTTACTTTGCACAGCTAAATTTACCCCGACAGAAATCGCAAAAAAACTTACGTACTATGGGGGGGGGCGTCCTCTCCCCTCCCCTGCCTTTAGGTAGGGCAGCACTGGGTAATCCATGCCACAATCCAGCCCCTTTTGTAGGAAGGGGGTCTGGGCCTCCGTGACAGCCTGCTAGAGCTATCAGACCAATAGACTCATGGTCCCAGTATTTTATTCCATTGTCTTATAGTACTAAATTGATATTGCTTGTGTAATTCACTTATATGGCAAGGGAACCATTACCCGATGTTATCGGAAACAGGAAATATTTCTAATAAACCCCTTAAATCAAGCCCTGGGCCTGACTGAGTAATGATTAACCTAAGATATGTGGGTCCAGTCACAACATGCTCACCTTCAAATAAAGTAGCAGGCTGTTAAGCAGAGGGAGGGAGTTTATGGTGAGTGTATGATAAACATGACAAGAGGCAGGGGAGGGACAATGAAAACCAGACTGCTGAACCGAGCAGCTGCTGTGCTATGTGTGCTGACTTTTGGGAACATTAATATCTTGTTCCTTTTATCGCTGCATGAATATTTAAGCCCTTTATGAATGGGCTTCCCCACTCTGCAGATCTCCACAACCATGCCACACTTCCCCCACAGATGATCTAGAGCAGGGGCCACTGTGTGTGTGGGTTTTCGCTGCAGCTCCCTAATTGTATTACTAATCAGAGGACTGATTGGCTGAAGAGTCCTCACACCTGGGTTTGAACAGCTGACCTACAGGTTATCCCAAAGACCTGCATATACACCGGCCCTTTGCGGATAAGATTGGTCTCCGCTGATCTAGAGCATTCTCCATGGCCAGTGGAGCAGTTTGGGTCTGTATTGCTCAGGCCAGGACCACAGTACGGTTGTAAAGGGGCAGGAAATTTCCATAAACTTTCCAGAAATTTCCCATTCCATGGGAAGTTAAGCTGGGAAATTTTGGAAATATGCCAAGTTGGCAATTCATGCAAAATTCCCAGAATTTTGCAACCCTAGTCCTAGTTTCCTCTAACCTTGAGTCTGTCAAACTTGTGTAGAGGACAGACCTACATCACAGCATGGAGCTGAGGTTCATACAAACCAGCAGTATCTGCATGCACTCAGGCTCCCAGGCACGCGCAGGAAAGAGGAAATTATTCATGAGTGTGGCACCATCCTGCCTTGACCAGCTTCCTCACTGGCTGCCAATCTCTAGCAGATGCTGAACTCCTTAACCTGCTGTCAGCAGTACTGATGAGTTCACCGCAATGACCCTTATTAGCCACTAGGGGGCTCTGAAAGTCTATTATTCACGCAGCAGTGACCACCAAACCCGTTGAAGGATTAGCCAGTACCTTACCTGGTCCTCCTGCCTGAGGGTGGCCTTTGCATCCAGGCAAAAGCAGTCGACACGCAACTCTTAGGCAGGCCTAAAAAAAAAAAACACATCACGTGACTTAATCACATGACCAAATCACCAGTGAAGAGGTAACAGGTTCGTTACGGTATCTATCAGCAGCACGGTGCATGTAACTCTATCAAGAAAAGCGGGCAGAGAAGGGAGCTCCGCTTGATAACCCCAGGTGGGGCCGCGCTGCCAGGAAATTAAAAGCGAGTAGAAAGCACAGAATAACAGACTCTGCCGTCACTCGTCTTTGTGAAGAAGCTTCACAAAGAGGTTCAGGGACACATGGTTCTTCATTAACATGGCATGTTAGCATCATCATAACCAGTGGGCAGATATTTTTTCCACAATACGTGCAAAGTTGGTGGAGACGGCTATTTGTAATTCAAGCAAAAAGTGCTTATTATTATTAATGGATGTTGGTGTTGTCTTTTTTTCACATGGACATCGGAAGATGTTATTTTTAAATAAAGATAGTAGGAATATAATTTTGCTGGGCGTTTTTTTTTTTTTTTTGCTGTAGGTTAGTTAAAATAATTAAAGGAGGCATTGGCGTTCTACGCCCACTGTACAAAAATATCTGTGTATACATATTCAAATTAAGTAATATATAGGCCTACAACTGGAATTCTGAGTCACCCTAAAAAGGTGTTGGCCGGTTTCTGAGCAACTTAACATATGAACGGACCGCGCCGGAGGCGTAAGTAATATTTTACAAGAGTAACGATGACATCAGCGTGGTCCACAATCTGCCGATGTGAAAGTCAGGTTTGACTCGTTCTCGGGGTGACGCGGGGTAACCGAGATACACCCAGAGTGCGGGACTGCGCAATGGAAGCCTATTAAACGCCACCGTAATGGGTGGCTGTAAGACGACCCATCGGAGGAGCGGCACCGGCCCGGCATGGTGCCATCAGGAGCATCACCTGGGTCGACGGGCAAAGGCTGCATACGGCCTTGAGTGCAATCAGGGACGCCGCTAAGGACCAGCTGTACCGGGATGTTATCACGTTACGACAGCGGTGAATTATGCAGCAGAGAAAATTTTTACAGGAGGTATAATTTTGCAGTAGGCTACTGCGCGCTCAGTAGCCACATCCAGTATCTTCCGACGAGGGATTTGCTTGCCGAACTGGAGAAGCAAATCCTGACAAAACAAACAAACAAAGCAGCACGAACTGCGAGCACGAGCCGTACATTGTTCTTTTACAATAGACCACACCATTCATCCACATCTCACCCACTTAACCGGTGAGCCGATCCACGGCGCCACGACGCAGTACAGCCGGATGGCGGTTATACCATAACACTATTTAATGGGAATCAATCAATTTTTCATGCCGAGCAAATGTTTTCTTGGTCACCGTGGGATTGTTTGCTGCCCTTTGGACACAAACCCCATTGAGAAAGTGGCTCAATGGAGGCGTGAAACACTGAATACTGAGTACAATTTTATATTAAACGTTTGCTATAAGAGCACGTACAGTCCACAACTTAACATAAATTCTGCTAACCAGCCAAATATATATATTTACAAAAAAAAAAAAACAGCAGACCGACATATAGGCCTACTTAAATTTGTTTAGAAACTCTCCCTTGGTGGCCTGTTTCACATTACCAGCTCAGAATCACTTGTATATTTTAAAAAACGTCTGTTACGGCGATAGTGGAGTTCTGTGTCCCGTTGCCGTGTGACCAAACAGTAAAGCAGCATTTTGTTCCAGTCATTACCTGCCCTCCGCCACCCCCAGCTAACAACGGGGAGTGCAGAAAAAAATGACCTGGCGACTGGTATCTCCCGACCTTTGTGTCGTACGGGATGTGACACGCCACGGGGTATGTCGACACGGCCAGGAGCGTCTCCTCCCCTCCAGCCGGCTTGCGGAGTGCGCATCGCTGACAGCCGACGGTCGGCGGACAACCGTGAGTCACGGGGGAATCGGCTTTATTCAATCCGTTGTTTCTGACCGCTTTTTTCAGGCACAGGTAGATACCCTGATATATACAAATACAATTCATATAGATAATAAAAAGCAGCCCTGCGGACATTTGGCCAGTTTTAACTGAACTCTTTCCAGGGCGCTTGCGTTTTACATGGACGTTTGCTGTCACCTGAAGCGACATTTACGCAACTCCGAGCTTCTCTTCCGTATTATGCGCAGCTGTCAACAGCAGCGTGTCAGATGAGCGATACTTTCTAGCATTGAATCGTTCATATTGAAATATGCAATCGGGCGTGTTTTTGGGACAACCTCTTTGGAAAGCGCCGAAGGTTTCGTGGATTTGCCGGGGGTAAGTGAAACCCCCCTCATTGTGCCCCGAAGATGTTATATATGCGCTGGGGGACGTTTTACTGCCCTCCGGACGCACGGCTGGTTACTCCGGGTCGAGCAATGTGTTCCCTAATTTAAAAATTATTGTAACGTCAGTAAGACAAAAGCATGTAAACACACCCAACAATCTGTAATGTTCCCCTATATTTTTTACAGGTAAACATCGGAAAGTGTCCGCTTGCATTACTTGTCATTTAATAGCATAACTTTAATACAACGCGAAAATATGAAAAATGTCGTCGGAGGAACACACCACTACAGTTTGCGAAAACGGAGCGATACTCGAAGAAACTTTGGACGGGAGCTACACGGAGGGCTTCTCGGGGGTGGATGGCGTGGCGGGGCACTCCGTGGCACAGACCCAAACGGACCTGCTGCTCTTGGAGGACAAAGAGACGCAGACCAGCGCCCCGATCGTAATGTGGATGGACGATCCGAGGTCGCATGTAAAAGGGAAGCACGCTGCGCTCCAGGACCAAGACGAAAAGGTCACGCCGTTTCTCCAGTTTAACAGACAGGCGGCAGCTCGGATTTCCACGTCCCCCACCTTGAGGAGGATGAGGAGCAGCGTCCGACGGCCCGTGAAGGCCATCCAGGACCACACGAGGGGGAACGGCACCCAGGAGGAGTCGGTCACCTGCGAATCCCCCGTTCCGGGGAACGCATTTTCACCCCAGTACAAGCACGGGTTTCTGTTACCGGAACCCTCGAGCTGCCCGGAACCTGGAGTCCGGCCGAACGGGGAGCAGGACAACCAGCCCGCCGTGTCCCCGATGGAATCCACGAACAGATCGGGTAGATGCCATACTCTGGACAACAGTCTGATTCAACAGAGAAAAACGTCATGTAGTGTTACTAAACCCATTTGCGGAACGCCAGAAGTGGAAGAGCACTTGAATCAGGTAGTGTGTGTTTAGTAGCCTATATAATGAAAATCATGTTATCACGATAAAATACTGTTGCTGATGTCCATTAGTATGCTTGCTTGAGAACTGGAAATTGGAGTTCCTTTAGTTTAACGTCAGATTCTGACCTGCTTTAGACATCCACTGAATCAGCAGGTGCCCCCTGCAGCGTCCCATCGGACGATACCAGGATACGAAGAGAGCCTGCCCCTTCAATTTAGTGTAACCCTGAGGCAGTCACAAACACGAGCAAACGAGGGAATTACTACTGTTAGCGGAGATTTAGCAAGTTTGAATTTGATCTTGATATTTTCATTAGCCGCATCGACCGACTGAGGTATTATCTGACGTTAAACTGAATTGTTTATTTATATGTGGGGGTTTAAAAATGCAGTGAGTGTTTTCCATGTTGTCGGGTGCCCGAACTGTCTTTCTGGTCGCGAATTGCGGCGATTGCGACAAGTTCGCATTATTTAAGCATTTTTGCAGCCTAAATTACCGCCTGAAATGACATCAAACTGGCCATGACTAACCAGCTCCTGTCTATTTACTTTAACAGGCGAAGGATCCATCTCAGGAACGGTAGGTATACAGTGAGTCTGTTTTAGTGTTGCTTCAATGTTTTGCATATTTCCAGAAGTGAAAGCTATGGTTTGATTTGGATTGAGCTTCTCACTGGCTGCCCCAACAACCTCATTTGAATGTCAAAGCTGTGGTTGGACCAATTATTCAAACATTAATTAGTGGGATGGATACAAACTGGGGTGTCTTCCAGTGCCAGTGCACCCTAACCTGGTTAGTCTCGTACTCATATGTTCTGCTGGGTTAAAAAGGACACCTGTGGCCTGTACTACGAAGCGGGGTTACTGGCTTATCGGGGTAACTTGTTGGATTTAAGGTAGTCTGGGCAAAATGTAAGTGAGCGAATATGAAGTCCATTTAAACTGTGGTACCTTAAATCTGACAAGTTACCCCGATAAGCCAGTAACCCCGCTTCGTAGTACAGGCCACTGGCGTTGGGAGGCTTCATTGTTTATTCTGCTGGGCTCCAGACCGGCAAGTAGGACCCAAGGAGCCCAAGTTATGGCCTTGGAGTTCTGCGGGTCCTCCGCCACCTTCGCTGGGCATGTGATTCACTGGAATCCAGGGATTCTGCTAAAATCAGGAAGCAGCAATTAGCATTAGAGTTCTTGTGCTTCATCAGCATGGAGTGTTGACATATTGCACGTATTATCCAGTGCAGTAGCGTTGGGTATCGCCACTGATTTGCGGAATCGATTCAGTTCTGACTCACAAGGTCCCAATTCTATTTCATTTCCGATTCGATTCGATACGGATTTGATTAGGGATATTTCAGTTACAAAACCAGTTATGCTTAGATAGGAAACAGATTCTAATTCTAATTGCTGTAAATTGTAGGAGCCCTCAAACCTGGTGCATTATGAAAAACATTAACATGTGCATTACGAATTTACCGCAAAGCAGCTGCATTAAAGAACTTTCTAATTAACATGACCAATAAGTGCCAAGATTGCGCATCTGGACGATGTCTCGTTAAATGGTTTCGGAGACTTGTGGTATTTACATATGACTTTGCTTTTGTCCAGCTGTTCACTGTCTTAATATTTCTGAAATCATAATACTGAAATACACCCAGCCATCTGCCCTTAGGCTTGATGGTACCTTCCAGCAGCTCCTGCCATGTTTTTTTTTATGTTTTGTTTGGGGGGAGGGGTCAGTTTGCCCTGGTAGGATGTTAGAGACATGACTGCCCTCCCCCAAATACAGTCATCAGTGCGTCCTGAGCCACAGAACATACTAGAGGCAGGCTTATGTGATCACTGCATACCAGTGGGTAAAAAGCCTGAAACATAGACCTTGACCGGAGCACAAAGACGACTTCCTGCATGTGTGAACATCAGGAGGAAGCAGAGCGGGGCGGGTTCTGTGCAGTGCTCAGTCGGCTTGGTTGCACCACATGGCACTGAAACCGGTCCAAGACTAAGCGTGTTTCAGATCTGGAGGTCTGGCCAGTGTTCGTTATCCTGGCTCCGCAGGTGGAGTCCGTTTCTGTGCAGTAACTTCAGCACTGCAAGGAGAACTGGAAATGTCTCAGGAAGCTTTGTGCTGAGACGTTTACTATGAAAATGATTTACATTTGAGGAAGCAGGGTCGGACAATCCCTGGAGCGCACAGTGGGGATGAAAGGCCTTGCTCAGGGGCCAGATGGTGACATCACTATGCCATTCCCAGGAATCCAGCTGTCAGCCTTCCAGTCACTGGCACAGCAGTGACTGGATCCATGCACTGCTCCTGGATCCTCCTTTTACACAGGAAATTTCAAACACACACAGATGTCAGGACGCGTTCTGTTCCCTGTCGCAACTGAATTCTTCTGGCAAGTTGTGCCGCGTCGTTTCATAATTATTGGTGGTGTTCAATTTCAGAGATGCTCCCCTGCGGAAAGCAGGATGATGGGGTGTCGCAAAGTCATAAATTAGATAAAGAGATGTGACAGCTACACATTCTGTACCTGTGACAGAGAAACACCAACTGCTGGTGTAGACCTCTAGCTCATTGTCTTGAGCTGTTTTGCTTATGTGTGAAGTGACTTCTCAGTTTCTGAGGTTCACGAGCAAACCCCTTTACATGCATCCAGAGGAGATGTTTCCAATGGTGGACACCTTGTGTCTGCTCTTTGGATATAGTGCTGACACTCTAGGAAGACTGATCAGTGTAGGTAAGACACACCTTTGTAAGCTTGTCCTGTTCAAGGTAAATTAAGTCATTATTTTAATAAAATGTCATAACCTCAAGGTTAGATTTTCATCACTGTAAAAAGTATCACATGACTGAAGGCTGATTAGATCTTTCTCTGGATAGTCATAAATGTTGAAGGTCAGTTAGAGCACATTCATTGCAAGTGACATCTGCACTCTCCATCCTACTTTCCTCCTTTTCTCCACCTCTCTCCCTCTGTTTCTGCGCCCGCAGGCTGGAGGAGCGGAGACGGAGTTCGGTAGTGATCAGCTTGCCAGGACTGGACGTGTCTCCGGGAGACCTGTTCGTGTCCAACGGGGCAGCAGGTATCCTGTCCTCCACCATTTCAGGTCATCTCCCATCTGTCATTTCTCTGCTGCACGATCGCGTGCGTTTTGTTTTCATTGTCCCTCGCATGACATGTGATCGCAACCACGAGCCTCTACATCAGCAGAGACCTGATTAACAGGCTGCATCACGAGCATTTTTACTCAGGGACCTGGGTTCAATGACTGTGAATTAGCCAGTGAACCATCTAGGATTCACGCCGACTTGCACTCCCACTGTACCATGGAAAGTGCCTTTTGGTAGCGTCCCTTCAAATGCTAGGGCAGCTGAATGCCTGGGTCATTCTAGCCCGACTTGAACCCAGTTCATATAATCGGGATATCATTTGTCAGTGGCTGCATATTTACAACAGCACTCATAATCTGACCATTCATGACCTCTTACACAAATCATGTATGACATATAACAAGAACAAAGTGGCAGACGGGAATAGGGATGTTTCCCAAGTGACAGAAAGTGTTTCCTGGTGACGTGGAATGTTTGAGGTACAGTCCTTTCACAGGTGCAGAGCTCTACCTCGCAACCTACTCTTTACCTAGGTCGTGACCCAGGTTAACCTTTCACTGACAGAGCTGTTTAACCAGCTATCTGGCTTCCCCAGTAATCTGCTCTTACCACACGTGTCACCAATACATGCTGTCGTTTTTCTTACCACAGATACCAAGAAGTCAAAGTGGCCGTTCACAAGACGTGTTGTGGTAGGTGCCAGGGACCCCCAGGTTTTTTTTTTTCTTCAAGATTGGGGGGGCGGGGTCACTGGAATCCAACACGTGTGGCTAACACCCGCTAAAACTCAAAGTAAAACTGACTCAGAGTTCATAAGTACCCAGTCGCACAGGCCAGGTTGGACACTAACAAAGAATTATGAAAAAGCTCCACTAAAACCAGCCCCCCCACCTCCCAACTCTCTGCCTGCCCCTCCCTCAGGCCAAAGGAAAGGAAGGCTCTGTGTCAGATGTGATGAAGCACCTGTCCACCATGCAGGTGGAGGACTGGAGGGATACAGAGCTACAGACGTACAAGGTGAGATGTTAATGACCACTGGCGATCCAGCATGACCAAGGTGGTAGATATTAGCCATACAACTACTAGTGCAATGCCTCTCCACCCCAGGACTGTTCACTGGAGGGCTTCTTGAAGATCCATGGCTGCAAAGGCAAGCTTGAGGGTGGAGATCAGGACCACAGGAGGGAAGAGGCCGTGTGGGAGCTCTTCACCAGCGAGTGTGTGTACTTCCTCGACCAGCTCATGGTTCTGAAACAGGTGACGCTCCTCGACAGCTGTGGATGCAGATTTTAATTTGCTTGAGTTTAGTGGACAAACTGAGAAGGAGGTACAGCATTACCCAGATGTTCTGTGTCTGACAGGTGTTCCTGGTCTCACTGGCCAACTTACAGGAGAATGACTGTCTGCAGGATGTCGACCCCTGGAAGCTTTTTGCCAATTTGAACGAGTTATGCTTGGTATGACCATGCAAGCCACCAAGAAGGTGCACAACCCCAATGCGTGACATGTGTAGCACATCCCAGAGAAAGAACCATTCTAGAGAAGTTGTTTTCATGCCATTGACTTGCAGATCATGTTCACAAAGAATGGTTTTTGTGGCTTAGAGTGTCTGTCTCCTACAGGTAAGCTTTGGCTTCCTCACCAGTTTTCTGCGAGTCATCAAACAGTCATGGGATATCCCAGTGACGGCCGCCTCACCTGAACTGGCAGATCTGCTCGTCAAGGTGTGTATGGTGACGCAGGGGTTTTTGTGAGTAGACAAAGACCGGAAAGTTAATTTAGGCAGCTTCCATAAGAAAACTGGGTCTCATTTAGTCTACCTTTGGAGCCACATCATGCGTGACTGCTGTTCTCACAAACACGGTGACTCATGGCTATTTTGAAGGGTTTCAAAGACAGCATCTGCCACTGCCAGCAGAAGTACTGCCTCAACTACTCTACTACAACCTTTTACGTGGATAGCCTGAAACACAGGGAAGACTTCAAGGCCTACGTCAAGGTACTTTGGCAGACCCCTAATGGTACTTGAACCAGCAACCTGTAGGATGCAAGTCTTTGCCTTTAACCATTAACTTACCTGCTCCCCCCCGAGGCTGAGGGTCACCCACTAGTTGAGGTGCTACTCTCCTTTCCAGTAGATATAGGTCGCCTCCTATCTCCATTCTGCCCATCCCTCCCCCTTCCACAGTGGTGTGAGAGCCACCCGGATTGCCGACGACTACAGCTGAAGGACTTGCAGGTGGCACCATTGCAGCGACTGACCCGCTACCCGCTGTTGCTGAGGAACATCTGCAAGCGTAGCAGCAGCGAAGAACAGAGCCGGGCCGTGGAGGCCGTGGTGGAGATTGTGGACAGAAGCATACGTGAGTCTGTCCATAGCCAGCTTTCTGGTTCAGCTTTCAGGATCAGCTTGGGTTGCATGCATTGTAACGTCATAACTCTCACTTGGTCAAGCACTTTTTAATCACAACTTCTTTGCATCTCCAACTGATTAGCCAATAGGAGCAGCTCTGGCCCAAAACCTAGCTATATCAATAGACAATCTCTGTGTGACATCACGGGTTCAAGGTAGATCCTTTTGTTAGTTATCAATTATGAAATTCAAACCATAAAACCAGCCAGGACCTTATTCAAGTGATGACAAACAGCACATATCGTGCCCTTTGGTCAGTTATAGGTTAGTGAAGCACGGTAGTTAAATGATCCCAGTGTGCCTATGCCGGTCAAACTGGTTTTGCATGCTGGCCTGTAACAAGGTGCGGCTCCATTATGTGCGCCACCTGGGTAATCATTCCTGGGAGAAGCCGCTGTTGTTCTGCTGTCAGTGGGGACGGCCAGGAAGAAATGCTGTAGCTGGTGGGAAAAAAACAATAACAAATCAGTAGCTTTGCAGTTGTCAGGCTGAAAGACACACCCACCATATCCCACAATACATCTGTGCTGGCTCTATCATCTCATTATTCACTAGGCAGTCTATTGGACCAACACCAGCCAATGAAACAGATGTCAGATGAACAACTGACAACACAACTACAATATTTCTGCATGACAAAAATACTTAATGTACTTTAAATCGAGTTATGAGGCAAGTCAGATGCAGGTGTTTTCTGTTCTTAAAGCAATAATATGCATACAGTATGATTAGGAAAATGAACTGCAATATTTGAAATAGTAACATGTATAGTGTGAATACCACTGTTGCAACTGCTGTTAATCACGGGGATGATGATGGTGGGTCTGATTCAAATAGGGGTACTGATGGTGTTGGAGATGGACATGTTTAAGGTAATGATGGTGGTGATGTTACTGATGATTGTAAACCTTGATTTTACCCCTATTTGTGTAGAGGAGCTGGAAGGGAAGGTGAAATGGCTGGATAACTACCATAACATTCAGCGGCTAAAGGAGTGCCTGATTTGGCCACAGGTGTGGGAGCGGAATAAGAGGGGCTTCGTTCCCGAGGTACAGTGTCCATTCAGCACAGACACAGGGACCCCTGCCCTTAGTCTGCAATTCAGCACAGACACAGGGACCCCTGCCCTTAGTCTGCAATTCAGCACAGACACAGGGACCCCTGCCCTTTGGGCGTTTTTCAGTCGGACCAAGTACCATACCTTTGGTACAGTACTTGTGGTACTTTTGTTTTTCCATTGACTTCCGGTCAAGTACCAGTACCGAAAGTTCCAAACCAGCTAGGGTACTTCTTTAGTACTTCGCTACTTTGGGGTGGGACTTCACACGCTTTCTCTGTTGATTGGTTAAGCAAATAGCCTGCTGCTGAAACACAATACAAACTCCGCCTTGAAAACAGTTGCAAACTCCGAAAATAATGATAAACAAAGTTAAAAAAAAAAAAAAATGCAATTTGGTTGTAATAACACATACAACAAAAAAGATCCGGGTGGCATGACAAGAAATTAAAAAGTATCTTGTTGAATATAGCATGCTGTCCTAGCGATGTGATTTTGTTATAATAAATATTGGGGTATTTATAAAACAAAAAAGGAGTTCACAAATTTCTCACAAACTCGCTGATTTAAACAGCAAGGATGAAAATGATTATGATTGTCTCGGAGATCACATGCAGCGCTCATGCAAAAGCAGCGGAGGTAAAACTTTAAACTGATTTTTAAACATATAAGTCATATATGAATCTATATTACTCTATCATCGGAAAAAAACTTAGCAACCTTTGCAGTTTTAATTATTATTCCTTTTATAGATTTTATAGAAACTTTAACCCCCTGCACTATAATGTCAGTACAGAATTGAAAGTTATAGCTGACTATAATGTAATTATTTTATTTGCATAACATGTGCTGTAGGTATTAATATCGCACATTGTCTAGCTCTATATTATACTACAGCCATTTTTCAAATTCAGTACAAAATACTCCACCTCATGCTGTGATGTTATTCGGTGCCAGAACCAGTTTTTATGCCAGTGGAAAACCAACATCTTGAAGTACCATACTTTTGGTACTTTCTCGAAAAACGATCGTAGACTGCAATTTAGAACAGACAGTGAGACCCCTGCCCTTAGTCTACATTCAGCACAGATGTGTAGACCCCTAATAATGCATAGCAGTAATTTAATTCTTCTGAAATTTCAAATACTTCTGATAATAGAAAAAAATGCACACATTTGTGATAATTGTCTGCATTCATTGTCTACAGAATTTGAAACACCTCCTCAAGGTTGCAACGCTTGACAACCTCATTACTCACCGGAATATGCTGTTTGAAGGGAAAGTGTCCGTCATTGGTAAGGGCCAGATGCCAACTGACCACAGGGAGGCACCCCCAGAACTGTGTGAAAACTGCAACCTGTCTCTGCCATTCACAGAGCAATCGAAGGTGCGCGAGGTCCACCTCTTCTTGTTTGAGGAATTCCTTCTTATCACCAAGGTCAAGAGGAATAAGAAGGTAAATGCAGTGTCCACACTCTACTGAGAGCAGAAGAGTGCTAGCAAGTTAGCACAGGTCGCTAACTGAGTACCGCCACAGGGTGGCACTATACCTCTCTGCCACACACCATAACCCAGTGTTTCTCAATCCAGTACTCGGGGACCGGCAGATGATTCACGTTTTTGCTCCCTCCCAGCTCTCAAGGGACAAGGGAGTGGGGATGGAGCAAAAATGTGGACTGTCTGGCAGGGGGCTGGGAGGGAGCAAAAACAGGGAGTGTCTGTTGGTCCCCGAGGACCGGATTGGGAAACACTGCTACAAACACACTTAAAGCCTCAGGAACTCTCCAAAAATGACAATTAAGAAAGTGCAGGTGGAGGAACAGGCTTCGTCTCCCGGCAGCACCAGCGGCCCATTGGGCTGGATTCAAACCCACTGCGACCGGCACTGAGCCAGGAACTGCAGGATGGCTGCACCTTCATGGTCCTGGACCAGCCCATCTCACTGGACCGGCTGCAGCTGAGGAACGTCGACCAGTTAAACGCTACAGGTGAGCTGTGTGGGTTCAGGCCGTGGCAGGAGTCAGCAGTGTGGGCACATGGCACGTGGAGGGTCTAGGTGTCGACCAGGGCTTCTCTTTCCCTGGCATGTGAAATAGCTGCCATACGTGTTCCGGAAAACCCACCATTCTAAGAAAATGTAGCTGGCCTGCTGCAAAAAAACTGTTCAAGCAGATGACATTTATGAACTAATGACTGGAATAAATGGACATTTCGCTCTTTATTATTTGACCTCCAACCACCCATGATCTCCAAGTGTATAAATAAAGACCAAACACCCCCCCCCATCCGCTGTCAGTAACACCACTATGTTATCTCTGCAGCGTCTGGCCTGCCCAACACCTTCGTGATCCTGCACCTGAACCGTTACCAGCAGTGCGTTGGTGTCTATATCCTGCAGGCAGGATCTGAGACCCTCAAGGTACTGCGGGTGCCCGTGCTGCTTGGCCTTAACGCACAGGGAGGCGCGCAGGCAGACACACACACAGAGACACACACACACACAGAGACACACACACACACAGAGACACACACACACAGACACACACACACACACACAGAGACACACACACACAGAGACACACACACACAGAGACACACACAGCGCAGGCCACTGGTGGGCCCCATGTGGGAGGTACACACATTAAAAGCCAAACCAGTCATGAAGAGAACAACAGCCTTTCCTGGGATCTGTAGGCTGTTTTATATCACCTAGGGGAACAGGCACTATAATATAATAATATAAATACAAATATCCCTTTAAAATCTTTAACTGGGTGCCATTACCCAAGGGGATTCTGACGTACAGGTTGTCAAAACTCTAGCGGCCTGTTTTTTTTTTTTTTTTTTTTTTTTTTTTTAACTCATCTCATTGCTAAAAAAAAAAAAACAAGCCTGCAGTGAGCAGGAAGCCGAGCGCAGCAGCTTCTGCACTGCAGCAATTATTAGCCCTGGCTTCTAATGTCCCTTTCAGAAATGCTGGATGTCGGAGATAGAGGGCGCTGTTGCAGCACTGCAGAGACAGGACTCTCAGCAGCCCCGCGTGAGGTATTCGGCACAGTGGCTCGAGTCCTCGCAGATCTAGTCATGGAACCGTCCCAGAAACCAAACAACCTTGTAAATAAATTCTTGTATTAGAATTTCTGCTTTATTGTAAAAAAAAACTTCTGTCTAGTTGTCATTTGTTTACAGTTAAATAAAATGCAGACCTGGCTTTCTGCAGTCTACCTGTGCTGCTCTTGCTTCTGTACCTGGAGGGGGTTTCACATATGTCACCCCCTCCAAAGACACCCCCTTTATTCCCAACCTGCATGCATCTTTAAAACTGAAATACAGAGAACAGGAGTTATATAATTATCCTACGTCACTTAAAAAATAAAAATCACACGTCCAAAGGAAAACTGAAACATACATTTTATTCGGTATTAAACCACAATGGCAAACTAGGAAAATGACTAGTACCTCTGGACTTCCATTATATCTCCTGGTAACATCACTGCAACCCTGTAACAGAGCCCTAGAGGAACAGCGCCCCCTGGCGAAAATGAAGGCCAAGAAACGGACGGTTGGACACCCACATGACCAGCAAGCGTGACCGGCATGAAATCTAAACCATCCAGTCACGTGTAGTGTCAAGTTGTTTAAATAAAATATACCAGACCAGAAATAGTGTCTTAAATTTGCGGTCACTTTTTTTTTTTAATATCTTACATTAATAGATGTCCTTTTTGTACAGAAATTAAAGCAATTACACTTTTCTTTCCACAATATTAAACATTGGTTGCAGGTGACTTAAAAAGGTAATGCAGACGCGTGTTAAGACGTGGGGTGGCCAGGCGTACGGCCTCGGCCTCGGGGCAGGAGGCCTTGGCACCAGCAGGGGTTCTGCCCCCGAGGGCAGGAGGCAGGCTCTGAGTGGCCAGCACCACTGCGCTGGGGGTGATCTGTGAAATCAGCTTCGGCGTTCCCCTCCTGCTACAGTGGTCCGTGTGGGCGTTGGGGCCAGACCAGGTGGTCTAAGGGGCGCTGGAGGAAATCGAACTCCAGGTTCCCTCAGCCACAGCATGGACAGGCTTAGACCTCACGATGCTCCCAGCCGACCCAGTAAATTACTCTCCAGGGGGCTGGGACACCTCACGGGCCTGAGGAGTGCATGGAAACACCGCTGTGTTTGCAACACCATTAAAATGCTTAACCGGAAACCATAAGGTTTGAGGTGCGCTGCATTCCCAATGTAGCTCTGGGACAACCAATGGCATGGCCAGCAGCACTCATGTGACCTGGCCGATCATGCCTGCTTAGTACACCAGTTCCAGCAACGTAAGATCACTGCCTTCCTGAGGAGGCCAAACCGTGTCCATGGCAAAGGAGTATACTTTGTTCAGACAAGCAGCAAAATTTCAAACCAGTTAAATCCCAGTCCCTGTGCTCCGCACAACACATCCCCCCGACCTGTTTGCAGCAAAATGGAAAATTCCATAAAAATACAACTGTTCCGGCAAGCCCGTTCTGCAGACGAATCACCGTGTTTCATAAAAATACTGAACCATCTTAAAACATTGGCCTTTTGAGCCTCAGTTGCAGGAGAGCTCCTGCACAGGCAGGAAACTGCGTGCATGTGTGTGTGTGTGTGTCTGTGTGTGTGTGTGTGTGTGTGTACACATAACAGGCCTGAAAAGAAAGAACATCATCTTTGGTTCTTAAGTAAATAACGGCTGCCTATGCCTTCCCCCTGAACGTCTGATCAGACGGCAGGAGTTCCCTTAACGCAGCTCCTCGCATCACCTTCCCTGTCGCAGAATCTCTCTGAATTAGAAATGCACGGCTTTTTAATGCGGCCACTTTTTAATCGCCTACTGAGTTTCCCCAGACAAAAAAAAAAAAACTGTAGCGTAGCATTATCATGGCAGATGTACGTCATGGCAGTGTGGACGGACAGAGTCCCGTTCGGAGTAAAAGGCACTATACAGATCAGATCGGACACTCTGACACTCCCACCGCAAACCTCCTCTGTGCCCCCCTGTGACACAGGGCTGGAAGTACCTCTCGGAGTCCTGCGATCTGCTGCCAACCTGTTGGGCAGAGACAGCCGCAGCGCCCTCGTGCTAATGAGAGTGAGAGGAGTTGCCTAAGAACATACGAGTGTGAAGTGTGGTGGACTGGGTGCGGGGGTGGGTGGGGGGGGACTGACAGGGGGGTGTCGGGGGGAGGGGGGCTGTCAGCCCTGCAGCTCCTCAAAGCAGATGTCGCACACACGCACTGGCTTCTTAGACGATGGCGTCAGCGCGTTGCGGGACGAGCACTCCGCACAGAAGATGTTTCCACAGTGCCGGCAGTGATGCTGGGGACAGGACAGGACAGACAGCCGGGGGGAGGGAAGTCAGACGGAATGTTCCGGAAACTCAAATGGAACGCGCTGGCTGGGAGCCAGGCCACAGGGGGGGAGGACTCACCTTCCTGACGGTCACGGAAAAGCCCTTCCCACAGGCCATGCAGTTCTGTACCTCATGGTCCTCCGTCCACTTCCGGGTCAGCGACTGCGACTGTTTAATCTATGGCCAGAGGGGAACAGGCTTTGCTATTGCTGACCTGCAGGGCTGCACCGCCCCCCTCCCCCCCCAGCCTCTGACTGCTAAGCCGACCTGTAAAGACTGGTTCTCCCTTCCCAACTCCTGCATGGCAGCGGTGGTGTCATCCAGCTTGTGACGCATCTCCACCACCTTGGCCTGCAACTTCTCCAGCTCCCCCTCACCCTTTAGACACCTGGAGGGGGGGGGGTGCGGGGGGTAGAATCAAATCGCCGGTTTTACTGCACAGAGTTTACATTTGATTAGCCCTAACTGCCCGTGAGCGAGGTGTCCCAGCCCGCAGCGGCCCACCTCTCCAGCAGAGCACGGCGCTCGTCTTGGTTGTTCTGCACAGTGGCCTCCAACACGGCGATGTCGCCCCGCAGTTCGTCCGTCTGCTTCTCCAGCTCACCGACACGCCGCTGGCTGCTCTGCCACTCGCGTTTCAGCGTCGACATGTTTTCGTTCAGCGCCGCGATCTGCAGCGCCTGCTTGGACTCCACCTCCTCATGGCGCTTCGTCAGCTCCACCTTCGCCTTCTGCTCTACCGCCTGGACACCAACGCCAGGGAGGACAGGGGTCAGACCTACGGGCCCCCCGCATGCACACAGGATCACACAGGGGGGCGACACAGGGGACAAACTACCAGCTGGCCCTCCATCTTGTCCCTCTCCGTTTTCATCTCCTGCTTCTGCTGCTGGATGCTGCCCCGCGTGGCCTGGTGCGCCTGTTTTTCCTTCTCCAGCACTGCCTGCTGGCTCTCCACCCGCCCCTGCATCTCCAGTTTCTGCTGGATCAGAAGCTGTTTGGCCTCCCGCAGCTCCGAGACCTCCTGGACCATGGCACAACATGTGTCAGCCACAGCATGACCACAGGAGAGGCACTCAATATTCACAGCATCCGACTTCCACACATCATCAGGCTCTGTTTTCATTGGTCAGAGATCTCTCATTACATCACTGGACTCCATTCTGACTAGCCAGGGAAGTTTCCCTATATTACCATTGTGTTCCTATTGGTCAAACTTCTCTCTCGTCCCTTAGATACAAAGGAGAATGCCCAGACTGACCTTCTCCCAGCGTTCTCCGCTGGTCTTCAGGTCCGTGCTGATCTGCTTCACATTCTTCTCCAGTCGGCTCTTGACCTCACTCAGCTCTTCAACCTTGGCCCTTTCCTTGTCCAGCTCCTGCCTCGTGGCCGCCTGGTGACAGTCACCCACGGTGGCACGCGTCAGATGGGCAGGGTGTCAAGCGCGCGGCTAGGTGGGCAGCACCTGACAGCGCAAGGCCGACTGACCTGCTGCTGCTGCAGCTTCTCCAGCACCTCCCCCTGCTGCGTGATCTTCTCGTGCCTCTTGGCCACCTCCTGCTCCAGCGACTTGCGGGCAGCGACCAGCTCCTGGATCTGCTCTTCTTGCCGGGTCAGCTGGTTCTGACTGGACAGCAGCTCCTCCTGGGCCAAAGCCATCTTGTCCTGAGAGGCCTGCAACAATCCAACAAGGCAACCTCTTCAACAGGGCCGTGGATATCCTGCAGAACCACAGTCTTCCTATCCAGCACCGACCCAGGGGAGCTCCGATCGGCACCCCGCGCTCCCACCTTCAGGTCCTGCTGCAGGGCCAGCAGCTCAGACTCCTTGCCGTAGCAGTCGGACTGCAGCTGCGCCAGGCTCTCCTTCACGCTCTCGTGGCTCCTCTGCAGCTCCGCCTTGTGGCTCCTCTCTGCCTCCAGGGCCTGGCTCACGGCGGCCTGCTGCTCTTTCATTCTCGCCTCCTGCTCCCGCTGCCGGGTGTGCTGCTCCTTGAGCTCGGCCAACCGGCTCTCCGCACCCTGCACCTCCTGACGCAGGGAGGCCTGGCTGCTCTTCAGGTCCTCCCGCAGCTTCTGCACAGATGCCTCCTCCTGCTTCAGAGTGGCCTGGGTCTGCGCCAGCTGCGCAGTCAGGGCAGCCAACTGTGCCTTCAGCCCTTTCTCTGCCTGGAGGACGATAACGGTGATCACTAGACGGAAAGTATTCTACCAGAGATAAGATCAAAGGTGGCTGCATGATAAGAATGTAGGCCAATACACAGAGTTAACCGTCAATGTAACAAACCACAGCTCAGGGTCCCCCACGGTGCCTCAACCCCCACCTCACCTCCTCCTTCTGCTGCAGCCGACCCTTGACCTCTGCCACTTCCTTGGCCACAGCCTCCATCTTCCTCTGCAGCTCAGCCCTGCTCTGCTGGTGTGACTTCCCCTGCAGGCAGACGTGCGTCAACTACTGCTGCTGACACAGGCAGTCTCAGACCCTGGTTGCATCACTGGATCACTGGCCCCGTACCACACACCCTGACTTAACCCATGCAGAAGCCCACCTGCTCCTCCAGAGCAGCCTTGGCACTCTTCTTCTCAGAGTCCAGCTGTGCCTGGACCTCCGTCAGTGCCTGGGTAGCCTTGTTCAGGCTATCCTTGGTGGTGGACAGCTCCTTAGCCAGGGCATCCTGCTCCTGCCTGGCCTTCTGCAGGCTGCTGGCCAGGCCCTGGGCTTTCTTCTCCAGCTCCAGCTTCTGTGTCTGCATCTCCTGGGTCAGCCGGTCAAGCCCCTGCTGCAGGACGGTCTTCTCCCCCTCTCGCTGCTGCGACTGCTGCCGCGAGGACTCCAAAGCAGTGCCTGTCCTCTTCAGGTCCTCCTGCAGCGTCGAGACCCTGTGGGACAGTGGCAGGAAGCCTGGGATGAGGGTGGTGTGCTCACAATGGGGACAGAGTATGATGGAGAAAATGGGGGCGAGACACCAGGGAATGTAGACAGGGACAGTGACCAGTCCATCAGGACACAGACAGCATGTACACACCTCTCCTTCTCCACAGCTAGCAGTTGACCAAGCTCTTTGATTTTCCCATCAGCCTCGGTGCTATGTTGCTGGAGCTGCTGCAGGCTTGACTGGGCCTGATCTCGGGCCACCTGTAGTTCGTGCACCTCAGCATCCAGTTTCTACGGAGACAGTTGTGTATCACTCAGGGGGCGGGGTTCTTCAGTGTGATTCTCTCCTTTTGACTGCCACGTTCCCCTTGGTCCACCGGGGTTGCCCATGAAGGACACCGACCTTGATGCGACCCTCAAGCTGCTCTGTGCTCTGCTCTGATGTTAGCAGCTTGTCTCGGCTCTCCTTCAGGTTGGTCTCTAGCTGTCCACACTGCTCCTGCTTCTGCTGCAGCCGAGTCTTGAGCTCCTCCACCTGGGCTTGACTCTTCAGAACCTCCTGCACAGAAAGTCAATGGCCGAGCTACCCAAATAACCCCATGGCAGAGCAATGGCAGACCAAGAACAAACCAAAATCCCAAAACAACCGCTTATCAACAAACCGGGACCTTGCTTGGTGTATTGGCCTCACCTGCTGCTTATCCTGCAAAGCATGCTGGGCTGTCTCCAAGTGGTTTTGCAGGTCTGCTCTCTGAGCACTTTTGGAAGCCTCGGCGGACAGCAGCAGCTCAATCTTGGCCTTCAGCTGCGAGAAAACCAAAACCAGATAATGGTCCAGCTGGACTGGCGCTAACAAGACGGCACTGGAGAGATGCAAGACTTCCTAATTAGCATGCTTGTTAGATTGCAGGTTATATACACCTTCCATGACAGTAAGTGTAAGACAGAGATCACACCTATGCTGTGGTGTATGTGAGCAGCTCTGGGGGAGCAGTACCTGAGTGTCCATCTGGGCCAGCCTCTCCTTGGTCTCACTCAGCTGGGCAGACAGCTCCGTGTTGGATCTCTCCAGCGCCAAGCAGCGGTCTTGCGCCGTGCGCAGGTGGGTCTTCTGCTCCTGCACTTGCTCATGGAGATTCTCCTGGGCCTGCTTGTGACTCTCCGACTGGTTCTTCAGCTTGTCTGTCAGCTGCGTGACCTAAAGTGTTTAGACCAAATCTGGCTGAACGGGTAGTCTGGTTTGGCGCATCACAAAGGTGTCAAACAAATATCAGGATTCTCCGAGTGACCATCCCCCCTGCCTCTCTCAGCCTCACCTGCTCCTGTAGAGCATGGTTCTTCTCCTGCAGCTGGTTGAGAACAGCCGCCTCACCCTCCCCAGCCTGGATCTTGGCACACAGGTCCTCCCGCTCAGCCTCCAGCTGACCCACGCTGTCCTTGCTCTTCTGCAGAAGTGCTTCCAGGTTCTGGATCTTCTGGTCTTTGTCTCCAATCTGGCGCAACACCTGCTCCAGGTCATTCTGGAAGACGAAATGTAATTTCACTAACCAGTCAGTCTCCCCTGATTGACTCCACCAAACACTCAGGGAGCAACTACCCATGGTGTAGAACCCTCCAGAACCCTCCTGCTGCATTTCTGTTTGGAAATCCCAAATCATACTGGACATACCAACATCAACCAGTACCTGTGCCTCCCTCAGCTTCCCCGTGGTGGTCTGTTGAAGGTTCTGGGCCTCCTGGTGCTGCTGCCTTGCCTTCTCCAGTTGGTGCTGCAGGTCCGCAGACTTGCTGTCAACCTCCTTCACCTAAGGGGGTTACATCAGCGGCAGGTCAGCACCAGCTCAGAAGACATCTGACAAAGCAGCAGAAGTCTTCAATCCACACAGAAATGTCAAAGCTGAATTTAATCCGTCTTACCTTCTCTTCGGCCCGGGACAGTTTGAGCTGCAAATCGGCTACTTGCTGCTCTCGATCCTTCAGCTTCTCCCCAGACAGCTGCCTCTGCTCCTTCAGCCGGCCTTGGACCTCCCCCAGCTGCCTCTCTGCCTCCAGCAGCCGGCTATGTAGCTACGAAAGGAGTAGCCTTTAGCATGCCCACTGGGCAGTGGGCCTTAGCATCCTTAGCGTGTTCCTCCCCATTTAGCACCCTATTTGAACCCTTTTACCCCCATACTTTGATCAGGATAAAAGTTTGGATACTTAGATACAGAGCTATCATGTTGCTATGAAAACTGGACCCGAGCTGAATGCAGACACAGAAGTCAGTGCTGCAGTGATGCAATATCACCTGCGCTGGCTTGGACACGGCCCACCTGCTTGATCTCACTCTGCTGCTGCAGATTCTGCTGCTCGCGCTCGTCCTTCTGTTGCTGCAGCTGCTTGTTTTCCACCTTCTGCTGCTGATGCTGCACCTCCAACTCGGCCAGCTCCTGCCTGAGCCGGCTGCCCGCCTGGCCCTTCTCTCCTGCCTCAGTCTGCGCTCTCTGCAGCGCGGCCTGCGATGCCTGGGTTTGCGCCTGGGCCTGCTGAAGCTCTAGCTCGCCCTGCTGCAGGCTGGCCTGCGCCGCCTTCCTGGCGGAGCGCTCGCCGCCCAGGCTCTCCTCAATCTCCCGGCACTCCTGCTCCTTGTGGGTCAGCTTCTGCGACAGGCTCTGTGAGCGCGAGTGGACACATCAGTGGTCACATGACCAACTCTTCACATAACACCATAGCTGCCAGCAAGAAGGACATGAGTTTCCATAAACAAACATCAGCACAATCTTCTCAGTTTCTCCAAAGTCCATAACATCCCTGAAACAAGTCCAGAGCAGCTACCTGGAGGTATAATGGGGGGGGGGGGGGGGTTCCAGGACACTGCATTCGCTAACCCTGGGGTCTCCAACTCCAGTCCTGGAGAGCTACTATCCAGTAGGTTTTCTATCCTACCCGGCATCTGATGAGCCACACCTGCTCCTGGTATTTACCTGAGAACAGGTGTGGCTCATCAGAAGCCGGGTAGGATAGAAAACCTACTGGACGGTAGCTCTCCAGGACCGGAGTTGGAGACCCCTGCTCTAACCCCATCGCATTCACCCAGGAAATGACAAGCCCCTAAATGCCCACTTCAGTTCACAGTAATGCAGTCTATATCACTATGAGACTGGGCAGGTCTTGGCCAAACTCCTAAGGCAATATGGATAATCTGCATCAGACACTGGCTTCACAGGAACGAGGTTGCCTCAGCTTGCTCCACATTCCCAGGCATCCATCCATTAGTGTGTGTGTGCGTGTGCTTGTGCGTGTGCATGCGGGGTACCTGACTCTGCTGCTGTAGCTGGTGGATCTGCTGGGTGTACACCGCTGCCTCTTGGGGCCCCTTCTCCAGCTCCGCACGCAGCTGTGAGATGGTCGTCTGCAACACATGCGTCAGGTAAACCCACACAGAGCTGCAATGTTCACACACATGCAAATTCCCACTTGTCTGCTGGACACCCACACATCTACGACTCCACTGTAGCTGACAGACAGACTGAGAGACAAACAGACTCGCAGTGAGGGGGGGGGGGGGGGGATGATGTCCCAGGTGCCAGGGACCTGGCATGTGTATGACACTGTATTCATCACACCAGCATGCTGACTGCAGCTGTGTCTTAACAGCTGAAGAAAAACACACACAGACACAAACACACACACACATGCCCCCCCATCCTGACACAGTGAAGGCCCCCTTTGTCCTGCTTTTGGTACAGGCTCAGTGAGAAACACAGTACTGCAGAGAGGGGTCTGTACATCAGTAAGACCTAAGAGTCCAGTGGGCTTTGGTGCCAAGATGAGAGAGAGAGAGAGAGAGAGTGAGAGAGTGAGAGAGTGAGAGAGTGAGAGAGAGAGAGAGAAATGCAACATTTACCCCCAGATCATGAACCTTCCAGAGGAGAGCAAAGAAAAGGGCCAGCAGGACACAGAGAGACACACACAGACGCCATGAGAGAGAGCAGCTGAACGGACGTGTTAGCCAGAGCATGTTAAGCAAAGCGCAGGCAACAGAGGACAGGTTAGTGGACAGGGGACTGTGGTAACACTGGGCACTGGTGACACCTCAGACAGAGCACCCCGGGGGGCCTGGGGGGCACAATAAGGCTCACCCCTCTTTAATGGAAAGCAGTCATTCAAAGGCTTTTAAAGAACTAAAGAACAAAAGTGTATAAAGATCTAATGAGCATTTTTAGCATAATTCAGATTTTTTTCAAAATTTCCATCATGAACAGCAATACCCAAGAGGGAAGATATAAGCTTATTTTGTAGCTTAGTTTGTCAACACAACTTGATTTCTTTAAAGAAATAATAAAAAAAAAACGATATTGCAGAAAAGGACTCCTCAAAAGCCTTTAGAAGGGGTCAGCATAAACCAGAGCGGAGCGCCACCTGCAGGGCATTCAGCCTGGCAGGGCCATGTCCTCAAGGCCACCCACAGTGGCCAGTGAAACCAGTAAGGCGTTACCTGGGAAGCGCTGTGGTCGGCCTGCAGCTGCGCAAACTGCCTCTTGAGCCTCTCTGACTCCTCCTCGCGCTCCTGGGTCATGTTGTCCATGAGGGTCTGCACCTGGATCAGCTCCCTTTTCAGGACGGCCACGTCCTCCACGCCGGGCCGCTGCAGCTGCGGGGCAAGGAGCGGCACAGGTCCAAACGACCGTATGGAAACCACACTCACATACGTATGGCCCTCACTGACTGCGTACAGCTGAGCACGCCCCAACACAGCCCACCCTCATCCCCACTGCATCTCCTTCTTATAACATCACTTTATTTACTTATCACCACTTAAACTGCACTATCTAGCAACGTCTTGCCTCTAATTGCAGTGCCGTTTCTCCTACCGTTTCCCCACGCAACTGTCCCCTTTTCTGCAACTGTGGCATCAGAATTTCATCATGTTCCTTTGACACCACGTGACAATAAAGCTTCAGTCACACCTGAATAAGCGGAGACCCAGAAAGCTACAGACACAGGTGCAGCTACACACTCAGCCGGGTCACCATTAACACCCATGCGACTAAATGGTCCTAAAAATGCGGCCCATAACCCTGTCAGCAAAACACTGGAAGGAGACGACCGGGGACGACCTCCCGCACTGCACGCCGCACTGCACGCCGCACTGCACGCCGCACTGCACGCCGCACTGCACGCCGCACTGCACGCCGCACTGCACGCCGCACTGCACGCCGCACTGTAACAAAGCTCCTACCAGCTCTGTGTGCAGGTTCTCCTTCTCCTGCTTCTCCCGCTGCAGGTCCTGGGCGAGCCGGGCCTCCTGCTGCTCCGCTGCTTCCCGTAGGCTCTTCTCCTCATCGTAGCGGGACTTGACGTCTGCCGGTTCACAGCACGGGTCACGCTCCTGGCCCGGCGCTCTCTCACTAATGCACGCTCACACACACGCCCCCCGGAGGTTGACACCTGCCTACTATCTCAGTGGCCAGCTGGGCAGCCTTCTGCTCGAACAGATCCTTCATCTGCCTGATGTTGAACTTCTCGGTCTCGGCCTCGTGAAGCTTCATCTCCAGTTCTGCAAACAGCATGCCCACATCAGCATGAACCCGTCCCATGATGTTCTCCACCCTAAACACCCACAAGATCAGCACCATAAACACACGTCGGGCCCATGGATGTCTCCAGTCTCGCAACACAGACCCCCTGCAGTGCTGAACGCGCTTGTCTCACCCAATTAGTGCCACTGCATTTTACCCATTAGCAGCCGAACCTCACTGCTGACCCGTGAACTGTTACCGTGGCGCCTGTTGCCATGGCCCCATGTTGCCAACACAAAACACTAAAGCGTAAAAGTCAAAATTTACCCGATTCATCAATGCTGGCTTGGCCATCGTTCTGCACGTTCTAGGAGGGAAAAGAAACACTTTGATAGAATAAAACAGATTCTCACAGAGACGTGTTGGTGAATCAGTGCGGGGGATATCAGATCTGTGTGTTAACGAGCTCCACCAGTCAAAATGATGGACAGGAGCTACAGAAACTCGTTTAAATACAAATACAGCTAATCCTCAGATGTATTAAAGGCTAAGCTGATTTAAGTACAACTGACCAGATCTTCAACAGCAAACAAGCTCTGCCCAAAACTGATGGCACCAACATAAATGAGGAACAGCAGAGTGGATATTTTTATTTGCTTCTCTGCATCCACAAAGCTGGCGATGGAGTAATTAAGAGGAATTACTTGCTTCAGCTGCCCTTGAACCTTGTCCAGCTCTTTCTTCAGCTCTCCAGAAAACCATCTCTCTTCCTGGATGACAGGGGGAGGGAACAGTTAATGCCGCGCTCCACTAACCAGGGAAATGGGTGTGAGCCGGGAGGAGCTGCAGTCGTGGCAAGTCCATAATCATCGGGCAAAGGTGAACAACCGACAGCTCAGTGCCAGACAAACCCCTGAGTTCATCGCCCCGAGCGCCGAGCCTGGATTCAGTGTGGCTTAGGTGGGGGGGGGGGCATTTCAAACACTACCTTGAGTGAGGTGTGGAGGTCCTGCACTTCCTGTCTCAGCAAAGCAAGATCCTCCCTGTGAGGACAGGACAGAGAACGATTCAGACGTTTTACAGATATCTCTATCTGTGCCCGGGCAATAAATCCAGTATTCGAACCATGTGTCTCATTCTCGACAGGGAGAGAAAACCCAGCACCCCCAAACCCAGACTGTGCCAACATTCAGGAGTGACAGCAGGGGACAGCGATGATGCGGGAGAGCCTGTCTAAAGGCTGGTTCATACTTCTCTGACGCGTTTGATGTCATTGTGCACCTCTGCGGATGAAAGCCTGCTGTATTCCAAGTTTGTGTCCGTGCAGCATCGTATGCGCAGCTCTGGACGCGCGTGATCGATTTGCTAACGTAAACATTGAATACCAACATGGATGCTTTTGACGAGCGTTTGGGTTCGTTTGCAAACCCTACAGACTGATAACAAGGTAATAAAACTGTTACATACATGTAAATGCATGTGTATGAGAGTGCAGGCTTGAACTGAAACCTTGAATTGAAAATCTAACACCAGCTGACTAAAGTTGGCAAACCTGTGAGCTGGTTCTCTGTATTTGTAAAACATGGAGAAACAGACACAAACCTGTGGTACGCCTGCAAGGAATATCAGAATAATAATTGATATGATTATTATTGATATTAATAATAAATAATTATAATAATTAAATAAATATAACCCGGCTTGAACAGAGAACTAACATTCTCGTGTATGCAGACGCAAGTGTGTCGCTTGTGTGAAGAAGTATGAACCAACCTTAACTGTTAGCATGTGGGAGGCAGCATCCAAATCAGGAACATTTAGTGTTAGCCTGCAACATAACTGAAACTTATCCAGGGTTAGCATGCAGAAGGTGCTGTCTAGCTGAGCTACATCCAGCGTTAGCATGCAGGTGGCACTGCTCACTGAAGGTTTGCTCAGTGTTTACACAGTACAAACCCATCTGATGCAGCTTTATTTGTATGCAGCGAGTACTCCTTGATTACGCTATATACAGTGTTAATATGCCATACACGGAGGGCACTGTTGGATTGAGCGTTTGATGCGGTTTTGTCCTCTGGGTGGCGCTTACCTAGCAGGCCCCTGGCTTGGCATCTGATCCCCCACCTCGTGGAACAGCTCATAGTGCTTGAACAGCTCCTCAGCTGAGTTGTGAGACTTCATGCACTGGGGGCAGATGAAGCCCTTCAGGAAAAAACAGACACATGTCCATGTGAAACCTGCAGACAAGCATAAACCCCAAACAACAAACCAGCAGCCGCATTCTCTTCCACATCAACCATTATCAAGGAGGGCCAATTCATCCCGGTCTAATTAATTCAATGTCAGGTGCAAAACAGCTCCCTTGAGAGGCAGGTGGAAGCTTTTGGCACAAACTGCCACAATACGCAGTACCTATGTGACATGCCAATACAAGGAGAGGGCGAGAACCGCTGAACCGGACGCGCCACTTACCTCGGAGGACTCACTGTTGACGTCAGCGGCCTGCTGGTCAGCATCCGCACCCTGGGAGCTGCCTTTCCCAGGCGTCTACAGGAAAGTTGGAATAGGGGACGGTCAGTCAAAAAAAGTAAAGGCTTTTTGTCATTACCTGGGGCACCTCATAACAGGTGGGGGCCCAATCTCAGCCCTGATAAGCTGCAGTCACTGATCCTGTGAACCACTCTAAACTACCCATTTCACAAAAAACAGCTTCAACTGTTTACTAGTGGCAGGCTGGGCTATGGATTGTGGTGACTAACTTTCATGTTTGAAAACACACAGATCAGGGTGTCATCAGGGCGTCCGGTCAACTAAAGCTAATGCTAACATCACTTCCACCTATACGTAATGCAGCCATGCTGAGGTGCAGACCCAGCTACCTTTGACATCAGGCTGAAGCATAACGCTCAACCCCCAGCCCACGTACTACCTCCTGCAGCCACAGGAGAGTGCCAGTGTGACGGGGCCATGTCCTTGATCTATGGTCAGCCATTATCACCAGATGTCACCCACCAAAAATACTACTGAGCCACTGTAAGAGATGAAATCCAAAAGCCAAACACACTCTTTAACACTGCTGAGCCTTGGCTCCATTCCATGCGAAACCATTTCCAAGTTTCCAATACAGATGATGTGATTTTGGCAGCATGCTTGCGTGACAGAGGGGGTGATTAATGGAGAAGTAACAGTCTGATCATGTGAGTACAGTGTGGGTGTGGGGGGGGAATGACCCTACACAGAGTGGGAGTGGTACCACATATATGGGATACTGACAGGGTGAGGTCAGGACAGGCAGCAATGACCAGCAGTGGCATGCAGCATAAAATCTCCACACAGCAGTGGCACCCAACAGGGGGCGACATTTGAAAGAAGCAGGGAAAGAGACCAATAGTCATCCTTAGGTGAAGTTTTTTTTTTTTTTAAGTGACCACAGACAAGTCTTGTGGCAGTGATTAAAGACAGATCAGAGCAGTCTGGGGCAGTCACTACAAATTCAGACTTGACAATTTTCTCAGAAATAATATCATTATTAAAGTGGAATGCTAAATGAGAGAGTAAGACATCACAAACCAGTGGAAATACATATGGTTTGTTCATACGGGCCGACACTATCTGAACCACACTACGCTTGTTTCGTGTCATTCAAAAATATTTCAGCGTATGTGAGACATACGCACACAAAGACTTAATGAACCTTTGCCAAACGCTTCAAAATCACGTCTCGGCGATACAAGAGGACCGGAGGCTGACCGAAAAATACTGGTTTCCCCAGTCATGTAATCACACCCAAACCTGCATTTTGCGCTTATCCGTTTTAGGCTCGAATCGGAGTGATATTTACAGCCCATAGCTGGGAGGGTACAAGGGCCATACAGCAGCCCACAGTTGTGCGGAGAGCTAGACAGCAGCGGGGACGTCCGCTTTTCCCGTCATCACATGACCCAAATTGCATCACCAGCCAGTTAGCCTCATTGGGAGAAAACAAATACATATACAGGGTAATATTCCGCTATAGCTACATGCTACTGATTCTGCAGCCTGTCTGCACAGCCGCGCGGGAGTCCCAGGCGCACGGGCCTCGAGACGGCGGCGGCGGCGGCGGCGGCAGCAGCAGGAACGCCCACACGCTAACGCAGTTAGCCAGACGGCTAACCCAACGTGTCAGCAAGCCAACGGGAGAGGGAAGCTGGACGTCAAGCGGCCCCGGGTACCGGGCGCATAAGTAGGACACTGCCCGTTTTTAAATTCCCGGTGATCTCAGTCCTCCAACTCCCGGTCCCCGGGCTTCGAGGCGAGGAAGGGCAGAGGCGCCGGTGTCAACAAAAACGGCGGCTGCTATTCCCGGCCCATAACGCCTTACCATCTGCAATATCCGTCTGAACATGGCGTCGCGCCGTCTTTATGTGTCCACCAAAATCTAAAAAATACTATTTAAAAAAAAAAGGAAAGGAAAAGTAAAGTTTATTCCACAATACTCTTCCCTAGCACACCTGACCAAGCCTGCTTGGTTCTGACAGTCTCCGTAAGCGAGCGTAAAACCGGGGCGGGATTGTCGTGACTGTGGGCGGGATTTCATAAGAAATGGCGGCCACACCGACCAACCGCTGAGCATCGACGTCAGATTTAAGCGCGCGTTCTCATTGGCTTAAATGTTAACAGGAGGGGGGCCTTGTCAGATTGACAGAAAGAGTGGGAAAAAAAAACTGGAGTTAGGAATCATTCAAAAAGTTAGCATCAAAAATGCTAGCTTGCATAAAATTGCTATAATATTCATTCTGAAATGTGTCCGCTAATTTAATTTTTTATTTAAATCTGATACTGTCTCTCACCTCAACTCTGTACAGGGCTGCCAACTTTGGTCAGCTGGCTGGCGTGAGATTTTCAGTTCGAGACAAGTCTGTACATGCATTTATATGTATTATATAGTTTTATTACTTTGTAAATAGTTTGTAGTGTTTGCAAACTACCCAAAGCACCTAATGCAGCTAATGTTAGGTTTATCATGGAATAATATAGATTTGCCTTGAGATTTCTTGCGTGAGAGATGACAACGCTGCCAATACAGCAGAAGCACTACATGCAAACTCGACACAGACCAAACGGGGGCCGGATTGAAGCCCCAGCGGAGTGCTACCCACTGTGACACCTTCACCAGTGACGTGCCAGGAAAACACAATTCATCTCCAGACTAGCTGATTTCTGCTGGCAAAATTTATCTGCCTGAATACTGCCATCCTTGTGCAACGCTAAGTTAAACAGGAGAGTCACGATTGTTCTCTGCCAAATGGACTTTAATGACATCTAGTGGATTGTATTGGCGTATATATGTCGTGCAAAATACTATAACAAGGATCACAGACCTGAGGCTCAAGAGAATCCTGACAAGTCAGACCCTGGCATACCCTTTTGCCTAGACAAAATATTGGTTATATTGATGATTGTTTAAATAGCTGTAGGCATACCTAAACAATTGATTTCTAATTTCAATTGCATTTAATAATTCAGAAGCCAGTTCGCAGTTGTTTGTTCACGTGTTTAATACAAGAGCATTAAGCTGAAGGCTTCTAATTGAGTTGCCTTTCCAACATGTGACAATCTGTGAAGATTTCAGCCCTGCTCTACACCACTAGTAATCAGGTCCAGAGGCTACCTTCAACTGGTTTAACATTAAATTCTGTGACCAGTTAAACACTCTGATATGACACAGGTCCAAAGGCATTTATTACAGAATATTATGCACAATGCCATTTATTCATTTTTCTCTTTGAAATATACATCTCTAATTTGGTGGAGGTTTGTCCAGTGAGATCAAATATTATCAATTGTATATTTATTGTTTTGTGTTTGCAATCTAGTGTTAAATGTTTAAAACATAAAGCTAGCTATATATAACCTGCAAAATTAAAATCCCCTTCAAGTTTGTCTACTTGAAGTTAATGCTAAATTCTTGTAAATCTACTTGGTGATTTTCTAAGATGGTGAACTGACCAGGTTTGCATAAGCTGCAAAAGTAACTGGATGGAATGACAGAGCATGAAGGTTCAGCTTCACCAATAGGAGGCTGCATCCCTGTCATCGAACTCCAACTTGACTGCACAAGCAGAAAATCATTTTGTTCTAGATGAATCCGAATCATCCTCTTTTGGGTATATTTTTTGCGGGAAATTAGTTGAAGGGTTCGGGAAACAGCTCAAAATCAGTCAACCACATGCAAGTAAAATTACAATTCCATTGTCATGTTAAACTACTACTGGAAAAATATTATATGGAGTGATTTTTAAATATTTCTAGATCCATCTCAAAGGTAACTTATAAGCTGTGTTGTTTTAAATCTACTTCAGTTAACCGTGACTGGTTTTATGGATAGGACTGTTCATTAGAAAAGATTCAATGTCAGTAGGATTTTCCTAGAAAAAAAAATCCTCTAGGTGCTCTGGTTTACTCTCACAGTGCAAAGACACGTAGTTAGAAGTGGAATCCTTCAATTGCCGAAAGCGTGTGTGTGCCCTGTAATGACTTGGCATTTGGTGTTTTCCTCGCAGAGGTGAAAAAAAATTGGTTTTAAGTACACATTTTAATTAATTTCCTTCTTGTATGGCTGTTCAATTGTACTGTTGAAATTCAAACTGCTTTTTAAAGAGCTAAGGAGGTATTTGCTGTGACAAAATATCACAACATAAAGTTAAAAATAAGTGATAAACAGGTTGCAATATATTTGAGTCCCAATCAGGAAGTACCCTGCTGTGTACTCTTGTTTTACGGTAAACTTTATTGGACAATCAGGTATTGAAACTTATTGATCAAATGGTTCCAGCATCATGTAATGAACCTAGATGCTTTGGCCTGCTGGTCATATATAGACTGCTCTCATCACTAAGTTGCCATATTGGTGTTGCAGGTGGGCTACTTTAACAGCCCCACTTGTTCCTTCATGTTTTACTATGTTAGTTTACTGGTGATGTGGTTGGTGTTACGGCCTTATCGCGGTAGACTGGTGCATGAGACCATTGGATAAATACAGAATTCAAAAGATATTTCTTGAAAGCTAAAACAACTTTAGAAACCGCTCTAGATTTACCCACCACAAAGCTTTCTATCCACACTCCAGCATTTTGTAAATATAGGAGTGGGTTGTATCTCAGAATTTACCTGGAAGATTTTGAACAAACCAAATAATAAAATGCTGTGGATTTCATTCCAATCTACAGTGTTATTATGAGGAACACCAGCATATCAAACATGGACGCAAGTCAAGAAATTTTAGTGAAAGGTAAATTCATATTGTAGATTATATAGTGTAGTTTTGGTAACAGATATAGCAGACGCTTTTATGTAATGTACAGTAGAGAAAGCATGGTCAGATAGTCCCTGGGCCAATGGGAGTTAGAGGCCTTGCTCAGGGACCCAGCAGAGACATGATTTCTCCTGAGCATGGGACATCGTGCAGGTAATGCATGGTAGTATGAATACATCTGACCCACATGTCAGGGAGAAAATAAAACGTGAAACCGAAATGAATCTTCCACACGGAGACGTGATGATCAGCGGGTTCTGAAATTTAAGACCGATGACTTACGGAGTTGCAAGTACAGCAACTGAAATGAGTACACCGCATGAAAGTCTGACGTTTATTTCTGACAGGTAATAACAATGCCGCCCCCCCCATTTCACAGAACGTAACCTCTGACTTCAGCAAGAATTCGTGGTTGAACGAAAAGTCAAATTTAACACAATTCAAAGCACATCGCAAATATGTCAAACTGACAAACTGTCGATGAACTCTTTTAAAAAACACTTGTCTACCTGTATTATTGGGAAAGTCTTTTGTAAACAATTTTCAGATGGAGAGAGTACCCTAGTACATGTTAGTATCTCATGGCTCTTTTTAAAAGCCCCCCCCCCCACCACCACCACCTTGCTCAGTCATCTGTAGCGCAGGGGCACTGCAGGCAAAGCCAGCCACTCTACAGAAAGGGATGAGGCCTTACAACCATAATAATTTGACCAGTAAGTTCATATAAAGGACAGAGGGTGGCGCTCTTTCCTTTCCTCCAAGGAGACAAGAGCTGTAGCCCCAGAAAAAGAATTTAGGTCTCCTCCAGCTGTCCCGCTGAAGGAATGCTTTTGAAAATCTAAGCATCCCAGTAATTTATACAAGCAAATAGAGATGAATGATTATAGCCCAGCATTAACACAACTGCTGTCTGATCCACATTGAGAGATAGCCCATTGTGGTTCCTATGGAGACCACAGACTCAACCAAGTTTTGGGGTGGGGGAGGTGTGTTCCAGCAATCCTCTTGCATCAAGGCAGCCGCTATTTCACGTGACACCACCGTAAATTAATTAGACTAAAAAGAATACCGTTTTACAGCAGTTTTTTTTTTTTTTTTTACATCATTACAAAAATGTTAAATTGGCATTTAAATTGGCATTGGTAAAAACCACACAAAAAAAAATCTTGATATTTACAAACCATTGTTTTCTTGTGAATGTTGTCACTGTGTTCGCAGATGTGAGTGACTGAAGGGGAAACCACAGTAGAATCATTCCTCTCCTGGTACACTCTGAAAACAAGCACTCCTACATTCCCTCTGAGCGTGACCAGAACAACTTTTCCGTTGGTAAATAAGCCGGGAATAAAATATCCAGACATGCTGTCCGATATACAAAACTATTACTCCCCCTGGGCCAGGAGCAAAACATCCCAGTGCACTGTCAGATACCGACGCAACAAGCTGGCTGTTAGCAGGTGGCAGGCGTTGCGTCAGTCAACAGGGGAGATTTATTTATCCCAGTTAAACAGCTGTCCGGTCATAAGAGCAGAAGCTTAGTACTGTATATTTACCCACAATAACCCCGGCCCAGAAAGGGCCGGCTCTGGGATGTACCGAAATCCTTCTTCACATAAAAAGATTCATCATTATCTCCAGTAAACCTCCTCCAGTCAGGGGTACCGTATGGTCCAGGGACAAGGCAATGACTGCTTCAGAAAGCAACCAATAGGACAACAGAATTAACAAATGAGAAAAACACACGGATTGGCTATGGAATCTGAAGGTAGCTGTGTAAGAGTAATTTCAAGTGGTTGTCTAACCGAGGTAGCGCTTTATCTTCAAAAAAGAAACCGTGAACCTGGAGGGCATGTCCCGAGTGAAAAGCAAGTCCTGCGGGTGGGGTCTTCTTGTCCACTGCCCAGCTCAGCATAGGGCACATTTCAGCCAATCGCATGCAGACCACATTTCACTGGACCAATCAGGCCTCAGCTGTGTGAGCTGTTGGCGTGTCCTATTTTAAGGATTTATATATATATGTATGTATGTATATATATACATATATATGTATGTATGTATATATATACACATATATATACATATATATACACATATATACACATATATACATACATATATACACATATATACATATATATACATACATATATATATATATATATATATATATATATATAAAAAAAATATATGTTTGTTTGTGTGTGTGTGCACGCAGCAACACTCAGAGGAGTCCCAAACCATCTTATCTTACTGCAACAACCAATTATCCAGTTCAGGTTTCTTCAGCAAGATCACTGGAGCTGCAGATTGCCACAAACACAGCAAATGTAGTGTTCAAGTGCGTGTCTGGAGTTCTCATTCAAAATGTATATAACCTGCATTTTTCCAGTGAGACCTGTGTAATCAAAAAACTAAACATTATGACCCCAAAGCACTGTTGCAGAAAAGGCCATTTAAGGCATCTTTAACCAAATATTATGAACTATGGCTTTGGTTTCTTAAAGTCATATAATACAAATTTCATACATTTTCTGTCAACACTGCAAGAATTCATGCAAACATCTGCTTTAACGTGTTAGTTCGCTAATACGCTATTTTACAGATACATTTTACACGAGGCTCCTGGTGTTCGCTGTGCATAACGCCCCCTATCTGCAGGAGGGGGGCAGTCCAGAGTGGGGAGAGTTATCTGCCAGTGGGGGGAGCAGAGAGTTCCCATTGGTGGGAGAGCAGCTGAGCTTGAGATGGCGCAGGTACTCTGCGTGGACCGGCTTGTGGCACTGTAGAACTTCAATGGCCTCCTCCACTTTGAACCACTCCCGCCTGCGGCCTGCAGGGGGCGATAGAGAGTGGAGATATGCAGGGAGCCAGACCCAGGTTCGATGCAACTGAATGGCTGAGGATGTGTGACAACAGCGCCGCTGTAATTTCACCGGCGAGGAAATCATAGGATCACACCTGTTAGTAATTAGGTTGCATCAGCATTTTTGCCTGAGAACAGCTGATAATTGTATGTGTACGGTCCCCCGTGCCAGTCATGACCCCTCCCCTCCCCTGGAGGGCGCTCCCACAACAGCTTTCTTTTACACCTCGCTGTACGTGATCAAAACAGCTCACTGGAAATATTTTCTGCATGAATGAGCCTCAAATACACCCAAGGAACAAGTCAGGCTGTTTATACGGAGCTTTTTTTAAAGCCATTCCTTCTTTTAGAACAAGATTGTCAGAGGTCAAAGGGTCACGTAAAAAGATCAAACAGCACCGTGTTTTCACCAATGAACTGACAGTTATGTCTATCGGACATATTTCATTTCATTACAGGCCCCTTAAAAAAACAACTAGTGAAAAGGTAGATTTCGCTGGAGAATTCCTAATTCCTCTTCAGGGGTTACAGACCCTGTGGTGTGTTGGCGAGTGCCCAGAGTTGGTTCCTGCCTGTGGCCATTGTTCCTGGGATAGACTTCAGTCCCAGGTGACCCCAGTTGGGATTAAGCGGTTACGGTGATGGATGGATGGATGGATGGATGGATGGCTACAGACCTTTTACTATTTCTGAGCCCACAATGTATGGCTGTTTCCTGCCAATGTCGTCCAGCATGAAGCTGCGCAGTTTATAAACTTCAGCGAAATATTACTTTAATAAAAATTCCTTTTTTGCCATGCAAATCGAAGCCTGAGCCCTCTATGTGGATCACTGACCTAACAAGGCTGTTTATGAGGTAATCTGTCTTCTGGGAACTGCTTCCAAGATGAACGACCAGATTTTCCAACAGTTAAAACCTGCAAACTTTGACCCTCATAACAGCAATTGCTTCTATTTATGATGAGAGTAGAAAAAATGGCAGGAATGAGAGCAGACTGATCTGGCTGCGTTGCCTTGGCGACAGTAGGGCATGCCACGAGGACAGTAATAGTTTGAAGTCATGCAGGAGCCCAAATATATGAACCACAGTTTACCGTCACTCTAGAAATGTCAGGCAGGCCCAACACTGTTAAATGACCCGAGGGTCTCGGATAATGGGGGCCTTCGAAGGACCATGGGACGGGGGGGTGACGCAGGTCTGCTCTGGGAAGCAGTTCAGACACTTCAGTGCACTCAGGGTCATTTTCTAGCAGAGATTCTGGGTCTTCAAGCTATCGCCAGTGCTGGGTTAGCGGAGGACAGCTGTACGCTGAGGCACGCATGGGCAGTGTCTCTGACAGACAGCTTGCCGTTTGCTATATAGGTATAGACCTGTACTGAGAGACCAACAGACAAGAGAACAAGAGACAGAGACACACAGGGTCTGTTGTTCGGTCAGTGTCTGTTGGTGTGCGTGTCTGTGCGTCTCTGTATGTCTGTCTGTTGTTCCATCTTGTCTTGTCTGTGTCTGTATCTATCTGTTGTTCAGTCTAGAACAACAGACACAGAGACACACGGAACAGACCGACAGAGACGGAGCAGCAGACAGACAGACAGACACAGACAGACAGAGACGGAGCAGCAGACAGACAGACAGACAGACAGACACAGACGGAGCAGCAGGCAGACAGACAGACAGAGACAGAGCAGCAGGCAGACAGACAGACAGACAGACACAGACAGACAGAGACGGAGCAGCAGACAGACAGACACAGACAGACAGAGACAGACAGAGACAGACAGAGACTGAGCAGCAGGCAGACAGACAGACAGAGACAGACAGGCAGACAGACAGACTGAGCAGCAGGCAGGCAGACAGACAGACTGAGCAGCAGACAGGCAGACAGACAGACAGACTGAGCAGCAGACAGGCAGACAGACAGACAGACTGAGCAGCAGACAGGCAG